CTGTGATGCATACAGTTCTGAGGAATCTCCAGTTCTCTAAACTCTGAAGCAGCAGGAAAAAGGACTTATCCACATATTTGAAAACAGCAAGAAGCAGACAAGAAATTGCTCAAGTCATAGGAACTCTAAAGCAGTACTATCTCCAGTTAAAAAAGCATGCAAGCAGAAAAGCAGGACAAAATCACATTTATGCAGTATGTTCTTAGCTACATCAAGATCCTCCTTTTGATACAGTACAGCCAATACCAGTATATACTATGACAGAGGAACACCAGCCTTCTGTGAAGAGTGACAAGTAAACAATTCGAAAGAGATTGGCAGAATCAGTCACTTAGATTCAAAAAAGACCTTCAAGATCATAGAAGTCCACTGCTAAATCCCTTATCACAGAAACTATCTAATTTTTTTTTTTTTTTTCCAGCTTCCATCTTTGAAATTTATTTAAAAATAAGTCCATTAACAGCATTTTTAACACTTTTTTAAAAATATATTTTGGAAAAGCTAAATTAAAGAATTGAGATAAATTTCACTCAAGAATTTGTTCTCATTTGAATGGCTTATGTCAGTTAGTTTTGGGTGGTCAGACAGCTGCCAAGACAGTTATCATCTTCAGCACTGTGGTAATAGTTTGACATTTCCAAAGGACTATCACTGTCAGAGGACATCATCACAATGCAGCACAAGGTGATCTTCTAGACAGCTGGAGTTATATCAAGAGTTTTCAAAAGTAGAGGCAAGCTTTGAAACTTTACTCTCATTTCAGTAGCCAATAGATCATTAGTGTAATGCACTCTTTGTGTTGTTGTACATGTGGTGTTGAACTGAATTTAAGACTTACTTTTAAGTAGGCTGCAACATCATACAACCCCATAAGATAATGCAGGTAATATCATGTTCTAATCACTACAGACAGGATAAGAGTAGGAAGAATACTTAGCATTCACAAGTGAATATTAAAATCTAGTGATATCATCTTAGTTTAAGCTGAGGCATCTGTTAGAAGAATAGAAAATATACTGGATGTACAAGGCAGAGATAAGTCTGGGCTTTGCACTGACAAAAACAACCAACAGAAGCAAACCTATTGATGCGGCCAGACATCTTTATTTTATTCCTTAGTTTCCATGGAATTAAATTCCATGAATATTATTTCCATGTCTGAAAAGCAAAACGAGACTAAGCAACAGATTACCCACAAGCTCATGAAAGAAAGCAGTTAACACCAACCTCTGAAATTTTTATCTGAAGAGTAATATCAGAACAGTTACGTTAAATAGAACACATGACACTTAAAAATAACAACTACTATCTAGAGCAAACAACATCTACAGCAAATTGCAGGGAATTCCAGATCAGCAGAGGCTCCATTACTTCTGAAATGAGCTCTTGCTAAGTTAGCCATAGGAATACAAGATTACAGTCTCGTCTTGAAGAGAAGGTTGCTTCTCAGCTAGGTGTATTGCACATCACACTGAACTTCAGCCTCTGAGTTAGTACATTCATCCATTCTTTTACCTTGATGCACAGACATGGTTTGGGTTGACACATGCTTCTGCATCTCCAGACTGCACTGTCAACAAGCGTAAAGATGGCATGAGAATAGATGTTTAACAGAAACATCAATTCAACAGCTTTCAAAGGCACACACATCTCTAGGGTCCCAGAAACAGATGGACTCCTGATAGACCATGCTTAACAAAATTAAGACAGGAAAACTTCTACACATAAGAGATCTTAATTAAATTGTAAACTCACACAGCTAACCTCTTTACAGAAACTCCCCACCACAGTTGCCAAATGCTATTAAAGCCCTATATGGGTTTATTAAAAGATTGTATTTCAGATAGAAGGCTTTATCCTGAAGGACAGGTAAGGAATAAGAGAAAGATTTAGGTGCAGAAGTCATAAAGCTTAAAATATATAAGTGAAAAAATAGTATGAATCTTTGACTCTGGGATGTGGTTTAGGTTTTATATCATCCAGTAATATAATATTTATTATTTATGCTTTTTATTTTATTATTTTATGTTTTTATTTATTATTTATATTATTAAATGTGTTTATTATATTCATATTTATGAATCTTTGAAGGTTGGTGGCCCTGCCTGTAGCAGGGGGGTTGGAACTTGATGATCCTCAGGGCCCGTTCCAACCCAAGCCATTCTATGATTTATTAGTCTGAGGATTTTTAGAAATAGAACACCTGAAGAGATACCAGCCGATATATTTTCAGAAGCTGGAATGTTGTTAGACATTATTATTAACTATCTACAATAGCTGTTTCTTCTGAGAGGAAACTTCAGAAACTAACTCACTTTATACATTTCGTTCAGAAAAAGAATTTTTGTCAAGGTTTCAAGTTCTTTGATGTGTGTCAGAAAATATTTACGAACACCAACAATGTCAAATTCCTTCAGAAAGAATAAAATAGTTGGTATATCACTTGGTGTATCCCTTGCACAGATTTTAAGGCCTCAGGATCAAGATGCAATGCAAGTCAGGTGACCAAGAGGAGTTAAAAAGTTCCTCATTTATTTTGCTCTTCCTTCACCTAACTTGCTTTAAATGGCAACGAATGGGGTTTGGGGGGTAGAGGGCTGTTATTTCATGCGAACTACAAGACTTCTTTCCTAAAAACATGTGAATGTCATTATTTATTATGTTTTTAAAGCAATATAGGTTTGTATAGCTATTATGTTACACAATATTATTGAATTCTGTTTCTTCAGACTTTTAAAACTAAGTTCAGTTGACCAGATAATTATTACGTAGTAAATATTTTTGTTCTCATAACTTCCTAGCAGTGGCTACATCTGAAACAAGGATAGAAAGTTGTTTCTTTGAACTGCTTTTGTCTTTGAGGATCATCATGTTAAATCTAGTGTTGTTTTTTCTCATAGGTTGAATAAGTACATAAAGATATGTATCTATATATATATAAATTAGGTATTAAATAAAAAGTCTCTATATGTATTCAGTTGCTCAGTCCATATGTGAAAATTATTAAAAAATTAAAAAATAAATTTCAAAACTATATGTTGTTAACCATACAGTCAACATTTCTCTGAAATTTGAATTTGCTCTACCATATCACAATTCCCCTAGCAACTAGTCACATTCCACTGGTTTAAAATTTGCATTATGAAAGATGAAGAAGCATGGGAAGATAACTGATCTTGTGTCTTCTCTCTGATGATAAATAAATTAAGGGCAAACCCCCAAAACCCAAAGGTGAGTTCAGTAGGAAGTGACCCAATAAGAGGAATTAAATTTGTCAGAACAAAAGAACACCTACAGGAAGCTGGTCACCCTGGACATACTTTGTTCTCAATAGCGAGAAATCAACACATCAGATACATAACAGACATCCAAGGGTAGAAGAGGTGGAACTCAACTTTCATTCTGCTGTAATTATTAACAGTCACAAAATAGATGCAATAGTTCAAGTATCAGCCTTCCTGAAGTTTAAAGGAAGAGTCAGCAGAATCATTATATAATAATTCTGTAGACACACTATGACACTTCTGTCTGATAAAAATATTTGCCTGTAATATTTCATCAAATGCAAAGTCACTGTGTAGAAACTATAAGAGGTTGACAGATGCCAAGAGCTGTGAGGTTGTTGAATAGAATAGTATTTCTGGAGCCGTGCCCAGAGTGGAGGCAAAATTTGACTCATCCTCACGCATACATTTGCAGTATATCTCTAAACTAAATAAGGATTTAACTCCATCACGAGGTTCTAATAATATCATGTCAGAGCTAGGAATTGATGATAATATCAACAGAGGCTAAGGGACTCCAGACAAATGGGCGATCTTGCTATAGCTATATTCACTGAGACACCTGTGACCTCGAGTCGTGTTGTCCCAGACTGTACATAGATGTTAGCAATTAATTATAATTTGATCACCGTTTTGTTTATTTTTACTACTTCAGAGGATATTATCAAATACCACAGTGGGGAGACATTTAGGAACTGCAGAACAGGCATTAACTAAATCAGGACTGATTAATTCATATCTATTTTTGCTTTCATGTTTTTCAGCTAACAATCTTCCAACAAAAACAGTGAAAACAATTTAAGAGCGAGAAGCAAGGGAAATATAGAAATTGCATGACATACACATGACAATCCCATTCTGCTTGCATTTTAATACATACTTACTGAATCTTCACCTGTCTTGCACATTCAAACTGTAAGCTTCTTCAGATCTATCCTGTCACTTATTGTACGCTCACATATTTTTTAGCACAATGTGAATCCCAGTCTCAACTAAGATTTTAGGCATCATTATGATAAAAGCAATAATAAGAAATATCTTCATGCAGATAAGTTACTAATATATCACTACTTGGATTGGTTATGATTTGGCCTGCATGATGAAAAGATCAGTAAATAATCTGGAAATTGAAGTTGTTGGTGGTTTTTTTGTTTGTTTGTTTGTTTTTTAAGATAACTGGAGTACCACTTTCTCAAAGTATCACAGAATCCGTCAGAATTGCTCCAAGCAAGCCCACAGGCTCTAGAGACTGTTTCTTGCATATATGTAACTTGATGCCAATACTGCTCCTCTAATCAACCAGGTTTTAAAAACGCTTTTACTTTTACTGAGAAAATATGTTCTGTAATTTTTCAGTTACCCTGGTTAACTGCTTCTCTGGAATTTTAAGAAGTATTGATGAACAACAACACAATGAGAAATTTACCAACACGTGCTCTTCACAATATGATATTGCACCAGCTTTAGTTACAAGGCTTAAATTAGCCAGCTGAATTACAATATGGTGGCATATAGCAACAGACAGCAATGAGAAAAAGGCTCAGTAAGAGAAGGAAGTTTATAGCTTCCAACATTAAAACAGCATTAGAGTAACAATAGATATTGTGGCTGTTGTGGCAGAATACTGCCTTTTATTATCACTACACAGGAAAACAACAGTTCAAAAGGTTCTTTTTTTGGACAGTAAATAACCCAAAATGCAACATTTGCTCTTACCACTGAGAAGCCAATGAGGTAAATATATCAGTGGTTTCAGGCTCTTGGAATAGTTTCAACAGTTCTGGTTCAGCTGATAAGTCAGCAAGGATCCTTAATTCAATCTGTGAAAAATCTAGAAAAAGTGTCAGAATAAATCAATTGCTCTAAAATAAAAATATTCAAAGTATAAATGTATATATATATGCTATTATATACTATGTATAAAATAAAAATTAACTGCTACAAAACAATTTTTTTTTTTTTTTTTTTCCCAAAAACAAGAAAAAAGCGCTAAAAAGCAGGAAAACAAACAGCTGTAGAAAGTGCATCCTTAAAAAGTCCAGCTACAGATTACAAAATACCTGGCTCCATTATTACCTTCAGGTGTCAAATCATTTAATTAGCTTTTTGTTGCTACGTACAAGCATTACAAATAACCCACTTCGAAACCACACTAAGGAGCATACATCATATAACAACGTTAATTGATGCTGAGGGATTTTATAGCCTTTTAAAATAAAATGCCATGCAAAGAAGATGAGAAGAAAAAATCACAGAATGGAGAATATTAATGAGAATATTAATATGTATGAGAATAATAATACATGTTATCTTACCTGCTGCTAAAAACGTATATCCTTTCTTTGAAACAAATAGTGCTCGTGGGGAAATGGTTACTATTTCCTCCTCTTTTCCTAGAGAGGAAGTTGACAAATGTGGATCCCAATCCAAAAATAGCATTGCAAACCACAGCAGGTTGTAAATGCCTCACCCAACACAAAAATACACAAATGACAACGTAAATATCCTACCAACTTCCAGCAAGACAATGATTTTACTCATCATTCACGTACAGCATCTTTATCTCCACTATCCTTGCATTACCACTCATTCCTCCTTCTCCCCTTTCTCCCCCCCAAACCCTTCCCAAAACTGCAGCTAACAAGCAATTGCAATAAATAACATAATTCAGAGGTCACTTAATAAAAGAGACATGCAAGTAAGAAAGGTTCTATAGAACTGATCTACATATAAAAAGTGGTTTTTTTTTTTTTTTTTTTTTTTTTTTTTTTTATATGCTGCTTCAATGTGTTAGGAAACAAATTCTGAGTTACAGGAGGTAAAGGAGTACAATATTAAGAACACACAGCTGATACAGGCATCCAAGTGCTAATGAATTAAGCTCTCTACAATATAAAAAGCAATAATATACATTGACACTGTATTAAAACAGTATATTCTCAGAAACTACTTATTTGTCTTGGTGTAAAAAACAATTATTTCAAACAACCATAATTCATCTGATCAGATATTACTGACAGCTGATAGTATGAAAGTGAGGGAAATAAATGCCTCAATATAGGAATGAAAGACAAATGTTTTCTGAGAAGCACATAAGATCACTAACAAACTTAATTATTTCCAAAGCAGCCTATGTGCCACTGCTAAGCACTATGCCACAGATTTACACAGCTACTGCCCACTCTTTTAAAAAACACTTAAAAACCCAGCAACATAAAAATAAGCCAGGGAGATAAAATAGAAGTACTGTTGAATTTTTACACTGTTTTTAAACAGTCTCCTGTCTTACGATTTGTATTATATCAGTTGGAGGGACAGACTAGCTGTGAAAAGGAAAGCCTGCTCTTACCTATGCAACAAACAACAATTCCCAGCTATAAGTGCTCAGAAAGCTTATCTGGCAAATCTCTCCTATTGGAGTCTACTTACATGACTTTTTGACTTCATCACTTAGGTCATGCTTTTCTACGCTCTGGATCATCTCCCTTAAATCCAATTCCATTACCAAAACCAACAGATCTGAATAACCACTGGTGATTAGTTGTGAGCTTGATTAAAATACCCAAGCTTTAGCATCTCCTTGGGAAAAAACTTATGAGCTGAATGCACACAAATACCCCTAGAATGTTTAAAAGACGTATAATTTGCAACTGGAACAGAAGGAATAGTGAGACTGTACAGGGAAAGAAAATTCTAGATGTTTAAGACTATTCATATCGGTACTGAAACAGCAAACTTCTCTCAAGCAGAATGAGCAAAAAGCAATTTTGTTAAATGTTAAGGTACATCAATAATCCATTCTGCTCTTTTGTGTTGGAGCTTTTGGTCTGTCTCAAAATAAAATAACCCAGTAAGATAAGGAGATGAAATTCACTTTTCATGTTTATATTAACATAGTTTACCTTTTATGTACTGCTTCTTTTTAATTCTCACTGGATGTTTAGAGATACCTTGAATGTTCTACAAATAAGAACAAAAACTGCTTAGTACGTGAAAGTTTATAGCAATATTTACGAACAGTTTATAGGAAGCATGGAAACATACACAGAGAGAAGACTACTACATAATTCACATAATACTTTCATAGTGAAGGTCAGGTAGGAACACAGCTCTAAACCCACCAACAAGAAGAAACACTTGCCTTAATATTCTTTAATATTCTTCAGTTTCAGTTGTGTTAATGCTTGCAATGCTATATGGTTACATTTTGAAAGGAAGAGTTACTTGCTTAGGACATAACACCAACATTTGTATTAATGATTACTAATTTACAACAACAACAACAACAACAACAACAACAACAACAACAACAACAAC